GGAAACCAAAACCTTAAAAAAAAAAAAAAGCTGGAGATCGCCCGCACGGGCGAAAAACGGCGGGGGAAAAGCAGGAAAAAGCAGTGCAGTCTGAAATGGCAAACCGCTTCAGATCCAGCTCTTTACCGGAAGGGGAAAGCCCTGTGTGAAATGGCAGCCCTGTACCTTTTTTTGCCTCAAGAACACCAGTACTGTAGAGAGGGCAGAAAAGCCAGGGTTCACTTTCAACACCTATTATCAACATTTTAAAAATCTGTGTTTGTTATTATTTGCTCAAGCAATAGCATTAAGAATACTCTTAAAAATACTATACCATGTATCACAGCTGACTCTGATCTTCGTGCCAGGACTATAGGAATTTCCTTCATGAATACAAGGGCATTGCTCCTCTTCAATACAAGTGCCATTTCCATCAGACACCAGTCCATCAGGACAAATGCATCCAGAGACACATTCTGTAGTATACTGGGAGGTGCAAAGACAAAATGCAAACTGATACTGTATGGAGCATAAATAAATAAAGGAGCCTTTTATAAAATGCCCTTTAACAGGTTATCATTCAGTCAATTCAGAAAATTGGAAGTGTTGTCCAATTACCCCTCCGAAGCAGTTGGGTAATTGGAAGTTTTGTCCAACCTTTCAGTGTCTTAGAACAAAATACTGTGTCCTGTTAATATTGATTATTAAATTGCCTTAATTGGTGGTGCGGCAAGACGGAGTGAGCGCCCATCTCTAGTTCCAGCTCCTGCCAACCTAGCAATTCAAAAGCAAGAAATTGCAAGTAAATAAATAGTTACCGCTTTGGTGGGAAGGTAACAGCGTTCTGTGCGCCTCGGCATCTAGTCATGCCGGCCACATGACCATGGAAATGTCTTTGGACAGTGCTGGCTCTTCGGCTTGGAAACGGAGAGGAGCACCACATCCCTAGAGTCAGATTCGACTGGCTTTTGAGCAAGGGGAACCTTTACCCTTTACCTTTAGGGTTCCCAGATTGCAATCCATGGACATATGCCTCACTTATAAATTACTGATGAAGTGGGGGGGTGGCTTTTCTCCACTCCAGGGCAGATGGAGGAGCAAGAAAGGAATGAGTTGAGAGAAAGAACAGTTGCTTTGTCTTCAGATCTCTAGACTGAGATCTGGCAACAACAATATTGCAAAGGGATTGGATCTGCATTGGGTAATGCTTATCTACAGGGGACAAGTGATTGAGAGGTGAAACTAATCTACTTGCAATAGGGTTGCCAAGTTGAACTTATGAAATAGCGGGGGGAGTCCTGTTCCTCCTCAGGAGTCTTCTGGTGTGTGCGCTTTGTACACACGCTGTGATTGCGCCACCTGGAAGTGATGTCATTGCATCAGGCACCATAGAGCTTTACCCCGAATGATAGAGCATCCCCTGGTAACATGCCCGACGGGATGACATCACCTCTGGGTGGCGTCTTCATGCCACGCACGTTGCACACTTTGGGGGTTGGGTTCCCCCTGGCGGGGAACGGACCTCTCGAGCGGGGGGTTTCCCGCCCCCCGGGGGGGGGCTGACAACCCTAACTTGCAACATGACATTAAAAATATTTTACCCTTCATTTTTTCCTTTCAAATCTAAGTGCCGTGTGAAGTGGATAATTTTTGATTGGCAAAACCATATCGAAGGTGAATAACTAAATCACCATCTGGTTCCAGTCTGGATCAGGGCCATGCAAAGCTGCAAATGAAGATCCAATCGTACATCTCCTAGTGGCTTGTCAAGTTTAAGATTCCAATGACCTTTTAAAAAAAGTAGGCAACAAAGTAGATGCCGTATTAACCTTGTACATATAAACGTAGGACCCTTGTTTGAATCCTAGTAATAATATTAAGCCCTTTGCATTCAGTTGAAATGCATTTTACAACTTACTTCTAGCTAATTTGTTCTGTACTAGCCTGGCAATGATACTCTCCCACCATCCAACTACATAACTCTGTAGCATGAATGATAACAGACATCGTAGTGAACTAGGTGATTCTATTTGCTCAGCTCTCATGGACACCACACAGGTGGCTTTTGAGTAGGGTAAATTCAGTTCTCATTAGTATTCATTGAGATCTGTCAAGCATATAGAACAACTGCTATGCAACACTGTCAAAAGCGTTACTTCTTACACACTGCATGTCTTGAGTTTTGCAACTTTTCTGACATTCTGATCCACTTGCAGTTGGAGGGGCAGAGCTGCAATCAAAATAATACATAGAAGGAGGGCAGTCTGGAAGAAGAAGAAAAACAGAATTAGAAAAGCAAGTGTAAAGTCTACTCACCATGAAGCAGACACAGAAAATATGCTGTTCCATAAACCAAGTAGATTGAAAGAAGGATAGCACATCTGAAAAGCTGGCTTATTCTTTTTAAAGTAGTTTTTAAAATACTCGTGGTGGTGTCTAAGGGACAGAATACATGCTTTGCATGCAGAAAATCTCAGGTTCAGTTAACTTCCCAATACCTCCCATGAAAAGATCTCATGTTCAATGTTCCCTCTAAGCTGAGTTAGTGTGAGCTAACTCACAGTTTTTTTAGCCTCAGGCTCACACCTTTATGTCTTAGCTCAGGAAGGATGGCTCCAGAGCAAACTAATTTATGCAGTAGCCAAATTGCTTGCTCACAGCTTTAATGCCAGTAGCTCACAAAGTAGGATTTTTGCCCACAAGACTCCAGAGCTTAGAGGGAGCATTGCTCAGGTTGTAGGAATTAGGAAAGCCTTTTCCTGAGATTCTGGAGTAGACACAGTAGAGTAAACAATACTGAGGCTGCGGTCACACGGAACAGAGGCCACACAAGTGAAACGGAAAACAGGCGGAGTTTCCGAGCACGATCTCACCAGCACATCTGGGAAGCGTAGCACTCCCGTGGCTCAACCGAGGCTTCCAGCCGAAACTGCGTGGCAAAAAACTAGTACCTCGGAGGTACTAGTTTCCGGAAACTGCGGGGCAAGGGCGGGCGTCTGATCGCGTTTCCGGTGGCATCCGGCGCCCGCCCATGTCCCCTTGCAAATAAGGTGTGTTTTTTTTGTCCACATCTCTGTGGATGCGCACACGCACCCAACGGAGCATGCGCATTCGTCGTGTACACACACAGAAAAAAAGTTTGCCGCGGCGCGCGCTTCTTCGTTGCGCGCCGGCTTGTCCTGTGATCAGCACCTCTCCCTCTCCATGGAACCTCCACGGTACCTCCACAGGACCTCCACGGGAGGTCTGATCGAGTAACTGCGCAGTAGTTTGCCCCAGGGCAAACAGCCACGCTTCTCCCCTGCAGTTTCCTGCCCGTGTGACCGGGGCCTGAGTTAGATGGGCCAATGATCTAACTCAGTGTCAGGAAGTAAGGGTTTGAGCCTTCTACCACCACACAGTTTTGCTAATCATCCCACCCTTAAGAAGAAGTAGAGATTGGATTTATACTCCGCCCTTCACTTGGAGTCTCAGAGTGGCTTACAAACTCCTTTCCCTTCCCCTCCCCACAGCAGACAGTATATTTCTTGGCTTGCGAAAGCACTAAACTTAGAGAAGGGCATAGCCCCTATTATAGATAAAGCCTATTGTGCAGGTCCCCCAACCAAATGGAGCATAGAGCTCCCAAGAGAAGAAGAGGAGGAGGAGGAGGAGAATGAATTTATACCCCGCCCTTCACTTGGAGTCTCAGAGTGGCTTACAAACTCCTTTCCCTTCCCCTCCCCACAACAGACACCCTGTGAGGTGGGTGGGGCTGAGAGAACTCTGACACAAACTGCTCTTTTTCAAGGACAGCTGTGCCAGAGTTTGTGACTGAACCAAGGTCACATCAGTAGGTGCAAGTGGAGGAGTGGGGAATCAAACCCGGTTCTCCCAGATTAGAGTCCGCACACTTAACCACTACACCAAGCATTGTTTTTTTCCCTTAAAGGGTTACGATGGCAGGGGGCATGTGTGTGTCATTTTTCATTAATAAAACTGTATGGGGGTGGAGCAATTAAACCTTTAGCCTCCCTGCTTGTTTTATGTGGCTTTAATTTTGCCATATAAGACAAAGAGGACATCTAATCATACATCTCTACTGTGTCTCATCTGTTTTCACCCACACTTGTGAAAAGATAGGTGCCTGATGACAAAGAGCAGAGGAAAAAAATTCTTTTCTAGGAAAACCTCATCCTGATTGGCTTCATACAGATGCAGCTTTTGGGGGTGTTTGGGGCTTATTCTAGGCTTCTCCCTGAAAAACTCTCTAAAACCAACTCCTGGTCCTGACAAATTTCTCACCTCTGTGTCACTGAGATGGAACAGGAAGCCTGTCTCAAAGTAGACAAGGCTAAACTTTACAAATTACATGGAAGATCTGTAGGGGAGCAAAAGAAAATAAGGTACAGGTCGAATCTGCATTGGTATCTTCCGCTGCTTTGGCAACGCTCCCGCTCCGTCTTAAAAAAAAAGATGTCTACGGCCCCTGCCACACGGGGGGGGGGGGGGTACGGGGAAAGTGCAGCTGTTTAAAAGCCGCACAAAAACAAACATGCTGTGGCGGGATCACATAGATCCCCTGAGCAGCCGCGCATTTCCTCCCCGGCACGATCAGATGCCGGGGGAAGCCACGGAACAGAGAGGGAGGCTGCCGAACTGCACATGTGTGAGCATGCGCAGTTCGGCCAGGAGACTCGGATGTGCCGGCAGAAGGACACGCTGACGATCCCACGGCCGCACTTGATGCGGCCTTTCTGGTAAGTCCACCTCTGTAGGTTGTTTATTTTAACTGCGGCTTTTCGGCCTGAAGGACTGGATCAAGGACGGGTGCGCAACAGTTCCCAGATGTTGCGGTGGGATTGTGCCCATTTGCTGCATCCCCGATCCGTCCCTCTTCTGGCCCTAAACCTCCCGTGTGACAGGGGCCTACATCTCTTTTGGATTTGCTCTCCTACTGTACCGTTATAATTTCTGCTGTCTACATTATTTTACTGCCCTATGGTTTCGACTCCATTGTGATTGCGGGGTCTCATCGGCTCAACTTGATCTGGTTACAAAGTGCTCTAAGCCCCCCCCCCCGAAAGTGCCATCTAGTGATGAAGATTTGAATCAACAAGATTGGAAGAATTTCTTGAACAAGCATCACTCCAGCATAAAGAAAGACGGCGTCGAGACTACTTTAAAAATGAAGACATGACCACAACTGGATTTGGGCCCATGGGACTGAGATGTCCCCCAGAAGTTCAAAAAGAAACAAACAATAGCCTGTATTTTGGGAAACTAGCAATAATCCAAAGCACATTTCAAATTCCAAACTTTAGCACAGTTTTCAAAATAACTCTCACCTTTTCCAGCTTCCTTGTTTCCAATACAGTCCAGTTGCCCTCGATTGCATTTGCTGGAGATGTAAAAATACAAAAGGAGAACCTCATGTCAATACATAATTAAAAAAAAATCCCTTCAGAGTAAGTATCTCTGCAATCATTCACCTTGTGTTCTACAAGACTACTTTACAGCAAGTTACTGCCAATCCCCAGACCTATGATCTAATAAGGTTTTTAGACCGAGTACTACAGCACTGACTTTGTAGCATGGTGTTTAGCTTTCTATGGCAGAGACAGAAATAAACGTACTCTAAAAATCTTGGAGGCTGCGGAATTGGACAAATTGACTTTATTGATAAAAGGCGCAACAGATTCGACATTTGAGAATACTTGGTCACGGTTTTATAACTGGTATGACAAACATATGTAGGCAAGCTTGCAAGAGACAGACCAATAGTTTACTAAATGAAATGTATACCTGTTAGGATGATAGAGACAGAAAAGTTGCTTACACAGTTCATGAGAAATTGTTATTAAGGCGGAATAGATATTAGCATAAATATTGGTAGAATTAAGAATAACCTCCATGTATTTTTTTGTATGTTAGTATGTATGATGATTGTTTGTGTATGTTATGTGGAAAATGCAATAAAATCCTGCCCCTTTGGGGGGCAGTTAAAAAAAGAAATAAATAAACATACTCTGCTTTCCTTGCCAGGGTACAGGGTTGTCACCATCACAGTACCAGCCACACCATCCTAATGGTACTGTAGCTTCTAAAATAAGCAATTTCTTTTCCCTACCAAACTTCTTTGATGTTTTCCCTCCCCCTGTTCTTTGCTCTGTTGCTGCATCTGTCCTAGTTCCTGCATCACAGCTTCCACCCATTTAGGTTTGCCAACAACCTGGAGGGGAAAAAAATGTGCTGCCCACATAGTAGATGGGGTGTGACTTATCAGGTGCAACTATTTCCCTTCATGCCATGAAAAGCTTCACCTGCCCGTTTCCACACATTAAGCCTCTATTAAAAGAAAGGACATTTTTTTCTTCAGGTTGTCGGCGACCGTACATCCATTTATTCCCATTGCTCCCGTCCTTTTCTTGCAACTTCATACTTCCCTCATCAGCTCCACAGAGTAAACTTTAAAGTAGTATATACTGTACAAACGGTATCCCTTACAAAGGCCTAAATCAGTGATGGCAAACCTTTTATAGACCGAGTGCCCAAACTGTGACCCAAAACCCACTTATTTATCACAAAGTGTCAACACGGCAATTTAGCCTGAATACTGAGGTTTTACTTTAGAAAAAACAACTCAAACATTAACTCAAAATGATCCAAACAAAGTAAGGAAAGCGATCTCAAATGCTTTCATTTACTTAAAATTATTTGGCAGAGAATTCGACACTTTAATGATGGTCTGGGCCTGGCTGAGGCGATGGCATGCGTGCCCACAGAGAGGGCTCTGAGTGCCACCTCTGGCACCCGTGCCATAGGTTCACCACCACTGGACTAAATCCTATTCAATGGATCCACACTGCATTACGCACGTAGGGATTGTTTTCTGAACTGGTTACAGCATTTTCAATTTGTTAAATCTTTTCTTCCAAATAGATAGGTTTTTTTTAAAGCAGTAATCTGTCAATTAACAGTATTTTGTTTTTTATCATTAATTAGCAAATTACCGATTTTTGTAATTGCACCCTTTTAAAATAAATGTCTTGACTGTTCTCTGAATAAGTTTACCACATGAACTTGTCCTGTTGGAATGAGTTCCCAGGCTGGAGCATCTGGTCCTTAAAGTAGCAGGGACAATCCTCTGGAGGAACACATTTTTCCTCAGTCACTAGGTAGGTCCCCTCAGGACAGCTGCAGCCCTCTGTGGGGGCACTCTGGACATTACACAGTACATCCGGTTCACTCAGAGAACGGCAGGAACGGTTACAGAACTTCACTTCATAGCTGTATTCCATTGTTTGGGGACACTCCTTGGAGACATCTTGGCAAGAGAAGTAACACAAAGGCTAGATTGGGTTTGGGATACACTCCATTATTCTTAACAGCATCCTTGTGAACTTATTTGAATTTTATACAAAACAAATATGCTTATGTCAGGGGTCATTTCCTGCGAGAGCGCACAGGAGTGGAGCTCTGGCAGTAAGAAGCCCAGGGGGTGGGCACATGCAACAAGCCCCACCCCCTACTCCCAGCAACCCTCAGTTGGGCCACGAGGAGCAAGAAGCAGCCAGGTAAGTTGCAGAGCCCCCCCCCGCCCGCCTTCAGGTACAAGCTCTCCCTCCTCCGTGAGGGCAGATCTGCATGTCCCCCCCCCATAGCTAGCAATCCAAAACAGTCCAGTGGCACCTTTAGGACCACGTTTTATTCAGGTACAAGCTCTCCCTCCTCTGCGAGGACAGATCTGCATGTTCCCCCCCCCCAATAGCTAGGAATCCAAAACAGTCTAGTGGCACCTTTAAGACCAAGTTTTATTCAGGTACAAGCTCTCCCTCTCTGCAAGGACAGATCTGTATGTTCCCCCCCTCCCATAGCTAGGAATCCAAAACAGTCCAGTGGCACCTTTAAGACCAAGTTTTATTCAGGTACAAGCTCTCCCTCCTCCGCGAGGACAGATTTGCGTGTGTGTCCCCCCCCCCAATAGCTAGCAATCCAAAACAGTCCAGTGGAACCTGAGTGGTGGGTGTTGCCTTCTGACACACTTCTGGTGATGTCAGGGGGTGTGGCATATGTAAATAAGTTATGCTAATGAGTTATGCTAATGAGCTCCTGCACCTCTTTTTCTATTAAATGACCCCTGCTTATGTTTAATCCCAAACAACAAGATCTCTTTTCATAAGCAATGGCTTGGAAGATGTTTCCAGAAGATGAGACAAGTTTCAGTCTTCAAAAACACCGACTTGAAATTTCCCAGATTTATGGGAGACTGAACAATAGTTGGATCCTATGCAGTTTGAATGGAGCTGCACTACATCAACAACAACTTTCCTACCTCCCCCTCCCCCTTAGTCTTGTAGGTTCTTCACTGTGTCCACATGGGTCAGCGGAACCCAAGAACATCATCAGAGTTGAAATAGGGGCTGCATTGAAAGGGAGTGTTATGAACTGATGGAGTTTGAGTCTGAGCGAAGGCTCCAAAGGCCTTCAAGACTATTGGTTGTGTTGCCGGTAACAGCCAATCATATTTCTTGTTTATAAGCCAATAGCTGCCGTGTTAATAGTTACACTGTATATGGTTCATGCAAATGAAGGATCCCAGGTGCCTACTTGGTACTGGTTGTTGTTTAAGGTGGGTGTGGTTTTTACAAGTATCTATTGGTCCCTGTTGAACCTGTGTCTTTGGTTCGGAAGTTTAATAAAGAAGCACGTTATTATGAAAGAGCTGCCTCGTCTCAATACTTAATAGGGAGAACTGGACATAACCCTCCCTCCCATGAGCAGACGTGGAAACCACAAGCAGAAAGGGAGAACAGAATTCAAGCCAATAAATTTGGCCTCCATGTAACACTTTGAGAAGATGTATTTGCATGAATTGTATGCATCGGGGCTCTCTGCATGTAACAGTCCCTTTTTGAGGCCTATTCTCCTGATTGCAGTCGATTGCAAAAAATCATTGCTGCAAAATAGCAGTGGTATTGGTGGCAATCACAGTTTATTTGGGACATTCTCTGCACAGATGTGTGCTCAGGGAGCATTGCAGAGCTTCACTTGGATACAAAATGGATTATGTGAATTAATCTGGGATTATGTGAGGCCAATTCTCACATATATATTTATCACTATAAAGATCAACATCAACTACCTGCATGCATTAAACAAACCTTATCAATTCAATTAGATAAACCTTCTGTAGCTTTCACATCAGATCAAAAATAACATTTTCAGTGAATTTTGCTCACACATTGAACTACGAATCATCAGTAGAAACCCACTGGCCTCTGTTTGTGTGTTTGTGTGTGTGTGTATCCCAGCAGGACAACAGCTTCAAACTTGTTAAAGGAACCCAAGATATGTCTCAATGCATTTACACTAATTATTAATAATATCAAATAAAAGCAAATAATATTTCAAAAATATGAATGCATTTGCATGTTGCTAATGAAATACTCTTTAGTGCTCCACAGCATCACTTGAAAGTTTGCTGTATGAAAGATATCATTTTAACAATATCATGTCCATCCAGATAATCAGTGTGTTTTGTTGTTTCTTTTTTTTTTTAGTTTTTAGTTTTTATTACTGGTGAAAAGATAGCCTAAGAATTAAAATTTGGACCAAATAATTTAATATCTGGTCATTTGTCAAATGTTAAACTTTTCACTTTATAACTATAAAGATTTATATGATGATCATATAGAGCTATGATGGTTGTTTCACACAACTAAACTATCACTAGATATTTGCAGTTTCCATATGATAAACATAATGTGAATTAAAACCTGTTGCTATAGAGAAAAGGTATAGAACCGATCTTTGAAGCCCTGGAATCTCACAATGAGCCCATTATAGCCTTCTTTTTCAGGAAGGATCAATTATTAATTGATAATTAATATGTAAGATTACTGAGGCAATCACTTATGGAATAAAAAGTCCATATTGATTCCCCAGCCAACATAGCTTCAAAAACACACTGTTCAAAAATATTGGAAATGTATGGGTTGTTTCGTTTCCTTATTAGGTGTTAAAATTATTGTTGACACTATTGTTAGGGATGGGCACAGACTGGGAAAATGCAGTTCGGTTTGTGGTTTGTGGTGTGACCAGTTTGTGAACCACAAACTATCACAAACCTTTAGCAACTAAATGAACTGGTTTGGTTTGTGATGCTCATGACCCAGTAGAATGGCTCCCTGGCATGGTAGAGACACCAAAATCACAGGGATTCTCCAGTTGACTCTCCTCTACCTGTGTTATGTATTGGGATTGACTCATCCCTGATTGAATCACCCTGACTGAATCACCTTAGAGACTGGCTGAGTTTGGAGCACAAGAACAATAGCTGACCAGGACTCTGGAATAAATCAACCAAGTAGTAATGTTTTGTAAATAGCCTATCACGGGGAGTGTGTGTGTGTGGGGGTGAGGTGTTTTGCATGAATATAAGCAGGGCTCCAGCCCTTCTAGAGTTGTTTTAGAGTTAAGCTGAAATCACTAATAAATTATGAGCTGATCCCTATACGTGTCTCAAACCCAGTATATTTCAACCTGCCTTCCAAGTTTGGTGAGGATTTATGGGGTCCAAGTTACAGCCCCCCAAAGAAGGTGCCCCCAGGAAATGGCAGGTGGTCATTTTGATAGACGTGGGTTCATGAGGTTCAGGACTGTATAGAATGGATCCTATGCAATCTAGAGACATCAAAGTCACAGGAGACCTCCCCCAGATGCTCCTCTACTTGCCCTCCAAGTTATGTTGCTTTGACATTTGTTAAACATTTACACTGAGTAGAGACAGTCTGTCTGGAAATGTATCCATTCACAGACTGCCACAAGCTGCCATGAACAGCTTGAAAGTTCATGGAAAATCCATACTGGATAACCCCCCATGAACTTCACTTTGTGAACCATGAACCGGCCAAAATTTATCACAAACTTTAGTTCATGAGTCAGTTTGTGCCCTTCCCTAGTTGTTGTTATGGTGGTCATGATGATTATGAAAGTATTCCAGAATCCTTCCTGTGGGTGCTAATGTAATATATTAAGGTAAAGGAAAAGGTTTCCCTTGCTCGAAAGCCAGTCGAATCCGATTCTAGGGGTGCGGTGCTCATCTCCGTTTCCAAGCCGAAGAGCCAGCACTGTCTGAAGAAGTTTTCCGTGGTCATGTGGCCAGCATGACTAGACACTGAAGCTCATGGAACGCTGTTACCTTCCCACCAAAGCAGTACCTATTTATCTACCTGCAATTTCTTGCTTTCAAACTGCTAGGTTGGTAGGAGCTGGGACCAGAGATGGGAGCTCACTCCGTCATGCAGCACTCAGGTCTCAAACTGCTGAAATACCGACCTTCCGGTCTGCAGTTCAGCATCTTAAACCACTGAGGCACCACAGCCCCAATGTATTATATTACTGTAATATTATTCTGTCCTCTTTTTACAATGTTATGGTCAGTGTGAGAAAAAACCTAACCTCAGCCCCGTTCACACGCCGAATTTGCCGCGGGAGAGCCACGAATGTTGGGCAGATTTTCCGGGCATGAACACATCGCAACATCTGGCGGGCGTAGTGCACCCGTGGCCAACCCATGGCGTCCCACCAAAATGCACGATTAAAAAGTACCTGCCCCAAAGTACTGGCAAATGGTTTGCCACGGGCTGCCGACGGATGCCTTCTGTGTGATCGCTCCGGCGCAGCTTTTCCCTCCGGCCATCTTTGTTGAAGTGTGGGTGCCGAGCTACGGAACCGTGGTGTGCTGCCGCTGCATCTGATTGCGTTCTGGCGGGTCTAACTGCGCCGCCGTAAATAGCTGCACCTCCCCCCCCCCCGTGTTATCTGGCCCATGTGATCGGGGCCATCCTAATTATATTTTTGATAGAAAAATGGGCTTGTTTATATGATAGGTTCCTGTCTAGAGAATTGCTTGTGGTGAATTATATTTTTCTTCTAGACACTTTTGATTAATAGACATTGGCTTGGATCCACCAAAGTGTTTCTGCAAGTGGAAGGATTTCTGCCTGCAGAGCACAACTTCCTCCCTTGCCCTCTTCTATTGTTGCTGAAAATGCCCCCCTGCTAGTTCTTCTGTCCCCCAGGAGCAGGATTTCAGGGGATACTTGGCTCTACAGTAGGAGGAAGGAGGCAAGAACATTGCTCTTTGTGGGCAGACATTCATCTGTAGAAATGATCCAGTGTCACTGAATTTTCGAGTACAGACAAAGGGAAGGGGATTCCCAAGCTCATATCCTGCCACCATCACACAACCGCTCTGCATGTGGCCGGCATTTGCTTTTTACAAAATCATTCCAGGCAATACCACATACATGACTAAAGGGTCATTTGATACATTTGTTATTTTTTTGTTAATCTAAAATAGCATAAAAGGTCTAAAAGGTCTTCTCATGTGGATATGTCAACCTACCACAGATACCCCTTCTCCAGCCTTTTAGGAGTATTCCTCTTGCAGCACAACTTCTGGCATAGGCAGAGAATACAACGCAGAGAGCCTCTTCACTCTTCTCAGCATTACAGGTATCATAAGCACAATTCTAAACACAGAAGCAGATATTATGGAAAGGAACCTCAGCCCTCCTGTTAAAGAACTGAACACTAGGGGTGTGCATAATTCCTGAGGTGGAGATATACGTGGACATTTCTGGTTCGGGTTATTACCATTGTTTTCTGGAACAGTATCACAAATCCAAGATTCTTCAATAATGAAAACTCCCTCCTGAAACAGTCCATGTTGTGTGTTTTTTTAAATTTTTGGGTGCTGATAGCCAGCTACAGGGTGTGCTCATATTTTACTTTGATTCTACTGATTTCCTGAGCAATGTAGTGTCCTCTTCCAAACTGATCCTTGCAAGGCAGAAGCACAAAGTGCTTCCAGCCAGTCATCTTTGTAGACAACCA